TGCAGTTGTAGAGAGCACCTCTGCTTCTGCCCTACGAATTTCTACCACTCTGACTGATGCTATGTCTATTCACTCTCCTGTTGGCTCAAATTTGAAGCTGTTGTTAAACAATATACTTCAATCCCAGCAGTCCCTTGGCAATCCATGCTATTACCACAAAAGGGGAAGTACTGTCATAAGCCAAGAGAGAAATTTTACTTATAAAGTTCCCAGAATAACAAGGAATAGGGTAATGATTGTAAACCTTAAATGTGTACTCACCCAGTTCTGTCCAGCCTTGGCTTTCCTGACTGAGAAGTTAATCCAATTAATGTTTTGCCCTTCACAATACAAACTCCCTTCAGTGTCCACATCTTAAAATATCCACACGTGAATTATAACCCTCTCTAATTTACCAAGGCTCTATTTTATATAGGACTGTAAGCAGTACCCTGGGTTACTGAGTCCAGTTTTTAGCCATTATAGGTAATATTTCATAATCTCTTTCATAAACTGATCAAGTTTCATCTTGGAAGTAATTTGTCTCCATTACCCCTAGCATAGCAGCTGAACAACCAATTAAAGTAAGACTTTAAAACTGATAAGCACATTTTTCATACACGATATAATTGGATTGTCAAACCTATTGTCATCAGAGATGAACAAGGCCCAGAATTTAGCAAGATTCTAAAAGGGATTGGCCTTTTTAATGAATGCAAATATCCCAAGTTGTGAAAAAATAATAGAAACATTGAAAGAGATTAATCATGCATCTGGGTTTAAAGCAGTTTAAAGTTTAGAAATTAGAACAGGGCTGACCTCATTCCCTTTCTCCCTTTCCCCACCCCCCCCAACCCCATCTATGCAATTTATAAATCACCTCTCAAAATAAGAGATTCTTTTATAAAGGATGATTATACAGATGATGTGCTTTTTAAAAAAATTGTGATTCCCTTTAAGATCAGAAAATTACAACTTTTTCAGTATTAATAGCTAATAATCATTTCTAAATTGTGAGGCAGCTTTGTAAATGAACAACTTACAAGATCTTCTAAAAATTTTCTTGCATATCAAGTTCATCCTTATGACTGATTCCTGAAAATTTAATTTCAGAAATCAGATTTAATATCAAACTCTAGTCAGCTTGACTTGTTCCTTGGCAAAATGAGTACTGTTAGATTCGCTTATGTGGCACAGAGCAACAACATAAATATGGTACTATAGTGATTGCAGGGTGTTTACATTTTTTATGTAAAGGGAAAAAATGAAAGGGAATAAGAAAATAATTATCCCAGCTCCATTGGGGAAGTTGTTTTGGTGGGGTTTGTTTGTTTAAAATAAAAACAAAAAACCTTGGCCTCTCTTATTCTGTATTGTTTTTAGCACATTTGTTAGTTTGGTGTCCAGATGATATGGTGGAGTTTTGTTATAAACTAGTAAACAGAAAAATGTGTACAAGAATTAGTAAATGACCTGTATCCATTAACTGAAGATTTATAATCTCCCTATCCCATTAAATTGACTAAAGCCAAGTAATTTTAATAATTAAATGTAATCTTGCATAGTTTGCAGCAAAAGAAAGTGCTTTAACCATTGTGATGGTTTCTCATTACGCTAAATTTAAAGCTTGATCCAAAACCACTTAAAATTGATGAAAACTGCCATTGATTTCAGTGGAGTTGGTCAGGCCCTGACCATCACTACCCTTTAGCACAAGATTGAATTATTTAGAGAACTCTATCAAAGAGAGCAAGACTGACTTTTTAAACATTTATAATAAAAATATTACAAACAGAAGGTAAAAGTGCAAAAGTATGTGGTCTTCCCAAGGGCTGAGCATGAAATACTTCTCAAAACAAAAATGCTTATCACTAGAGTTTGAAATCCCATCCCTACCCCACCCCAAAGACCTTTTTGTGAGATTACATACTCAGGACTAGCTGTTCATATTTTGTTCAGATCTTGCAGAGTGCCCCCTTATTCGCCCAGCACTGGTCCACATTTTGTTGCAAGGTGAGTTGTCCAAACTCAGATATGACATGTGCCCAGGCCAAGAAGTGGAAGAATTGGAGGATGTCATCAGAGCCAGCCCTAATAAGCTGGTTTCTACAGCATTTTCAGGGTTGCTGTCCGGAGAGGGAATTTTAAAGAGAAGTGGACCGTAATGTTGACTTTATAAATCTATGTTTGCTGTGATTTTTTTTAAAAAAATAAACTCACACACATAGTAGCACCTAGAGGTCACAGTCAGAATTTATGGCCCAATTATACTGGGTGCTAAATGAAGACAGAAGAAGCAGCCTGGCTTCTTGCTAGTTCTTAATGGCTAAGGAAAGAAATTATATGTAAACTGGTATAAACAATCATAAATCGGTTCAAATCTGCAACACAACAGAAGTTCAGTGCACATAAACCACTTTCAAAATGGCCAAAACAGGTTCAAGATAAACCTGGATGGATGTTTTGGTTAAATCAGTTTATGGAACTTCTGTCCCAGATCCCCTCCAGATTCAAGTGTAACTCGCAGTCCCCGCAGCATCCCAGGGTACTTTGTACCTCCCCTACATTTCCCCGCCCCCCCCCCCCCCCCCGGGGGGGGGAAGCCCGCCAGCCAAGCAGGGAGGCATACTCTAGCACCCCCCAGCTTCTGACCTGGGCCACTGCAGGCATGTGGCTGCGTTTCCAGAATCAAAAGTGAATGCCTGTTCATTTGTTTATCAGTTCAGTCTATGTAGCTTAAACTAATCTGCAAAGATTGAATAGATTCAACCTCGGGCTTTTTGACTGTCTGTGCTTAGCCCATGTGCCCTGTTTGCCCATTTCTTTTTCCAAAGAAAAGACTGAGCTAATTGAGCAATATAATGACAATGTAAAGGTTGAGGAGTGCCTTGAAGGACTACTGAAATAAAATACTTTTATCACTTATTATTAATTACTTACCTAGTTAATTCTAATTAGCCAAAGCAGCTTAGACACCTAGGCTAGGGGCATACATTCCAAAAGCCTGAGCCTGAATTGATTCAATATTTGCAGGTTAGTCTAACCTGGCTAGGCTGAACTCGTTTGTAACCAGACAGAAATTCTCTCTGAACTTAGGAAATTCAGGCACATGCCTGCAGTGGCTCAGGCTAGAAGCTGGGGCGTGCTAGAGCAGCCTTCCCTTCCATTCTGCAAGGAGCTGAGAAGGCGTGGCCAGGCCCCACAGGACCTCTGATTAGGGAGGTCTACCTGCACCATCCTGGGCTTTTCCCCGCTGGCTGCTCAAAGGGTGGGGGTGTTGCCAGACCCCAGATACCTGCTAGCACTCTGAGGCAAGGGGGGCAGCGTGTGTGCAGTGCATGCCTCTGATGATGATACGGAACTTTTCAGTCTCCCTCCCTGCTTCTTTATACTGTCTGCAGCAAACTGACAGGCAAGCAAGCAAGCAGGGGGTTGATAAAAGTGTTTATTACTTCATCAGCAAAAGAATAGCTCCTTTCTAGCAATCAGCAATGGGGGTATAGGGTAGGGGGAAGCCAGGCAGACCCTGCTGTACCTGTAGTCTCTGCTGGAGCTCCAGCCAGGGAGCAGAGGGGAGGGGCCAGCCCTGCTGTGGAGCAGAGAGCCCCACCCAGCCCAGAGAGTGTGCTGGAATGCTGGGAGAGTCTGGTTTATCTTAAACCAACAAGGGGTCTGGGATAGACATTGCATAAACTGTTTTGAGCCAAATCAGTTAAGTCTGATACTACATTCAGCCAGGTTTATCTCAAACTGGTTTCAGTCATTTTCAACCTGGTTTATGTGCACTGAACATCTGTTCTGTTACAGGTTTAAACCAGTTTCTAATCACTTAAACCAGTTTATGGGTAAGGTCTGTCCCTAGCCTTAGGATGCTTGCAGATGTTAAAAAAACAAAAAAGATCAGGTGCTTTAGTGGGGCTTTTGGTGCTTTTATCTAATAGCTGATTGAATCGGCTATTACAGATCCTACAGAACTGGGTTGAAGTAACACAGTGCTGCTCTGGTAAAGCACGTGTTTTTTAAACATTTGCAAGCAGCCTTATTTCTCAAGATTGCCAGTTACCGATATCGACAGCAGTTTGTTAGATTGTGTTGCTGTTCTAAAATGGCAGTTTTTAATGTTTCTGTGAAATTACTGAAAGCCTCCGTTAATTTATTTATTTCTCAGCAAATCAGAATGCTGAATAAGCCTTTCACACGTGCCAATTTAAATATGCTCATTCTACTTTTTTTAAAGGTCTGACTCCTAACTGTATGCAACAGGAGATTTTTAGATCAGGGTTGCTACTTAGTGGTTGGGAACATGAGCAGTTGATACTTCACTTTGCTTTAAACTTGTAAAATCATGGCAGTGTAAGATAGAAGTTTTACGGTCAAATTTAATTGGTATTTTCCTCTCCCAGGATGGTTTTCATTGAGAAGTACTAGGATGTACACTCACCTATTTGAGTCCCCAGTACTTCCCTTTAATAAGACACTTTTTGGTTATAAAAATATCTCAGCTGGGTTATACATCCAGGGCAAAAATTCACAAGTATATTATAGACAGAAAAGCTACTTATTATCTAAATATTATTATAATAAATCGTATTATGATTAACCAGAGAAAATGTATTAATGTGTACCCTGTCTGCCCACAGCTGAAGTCTACATAGGAATTGGGAAACCTGCTGAAGCCACAGCATGTACCCAGGAAGCAGCTAACCTCTTTCCAATGTCGCATAATGTCCTTTACATGAGAGGTCAAGTGGCTGAACTTCGTGGAAATATTGATGAAGCCAAACGCTGGTATGAAGAGGCCTTATCGATTAGTCCTACCCATGTAAAAAGCATGCAGAGACTGGTAAGTTTTTAATCCAAATGGGAAAACATTTTATCCTTAGCTGTGCAGTTGTTTGGGGGTCCTACTGCATTTATATAGTGGTACTCCATTCCTAAGATGTCTGTAATTTGTATATTTACTCTTTTGGTATTTTTTACTTAAGTGCAGTTTTAATTAACTATCTTTGCATTAAAACGAATCTAGTAAGGATTAAGAAGGCAGAACTGTAGTCTTGCCACGTTCAGATGAATTGTGCACTCTAACAAAAAATGCTTAAATCTTCAGCTTTAGCTGTAGAGAAATGAAGATGCCTGCATCTAAATAGATGCTTCTGTCCACATGTGGTATAGATGTAATTCATTCATTTTAAATACAGTTTGTTCCATACTACATCTATAACACTTCATTTGGACCTACATTATTGTGCTAATTGGGGAAACTTGCATGGTAAGTGGCAGTTTAAAGGCAATATAAAGTGTTCACAGAGATTTGCAAATAAAAGATAATATACAAATTCCATAAAAAGTCAGGTGTTTTGCTTTCTTTAAAAGAGGCTTTACTGTTTTAATGATTGGAGCTATGATGATGCCATTCATGTCATTATATTGATAAGTTGGATTTCATTTTTTTTAATAAAAGATGCATAAACAGGTGTAACTAAAATTATCAATACTCTGAGGGATGAAATTCATTTCCACACAAATGAACAGTGCTAAATAGTAAAGTTACGTAATTGAAATCGTTATGTGGCTTCAGCATCTTCTTTGTCCTTTGGAAAAGTAAGGAGGTATCTGCAGTAAAACTTAGTGTTTCAGCATGAGGAGTTTTATAGGAGTCTGATAGAAGAGGGGTCACAGGATCTGCATACAAACAGAACCAAATATCTCTGCAAAGAAGGGCTATAGAGTGATTCCAATTTATAGACTAGAATAGCCATCCTGCTTCTAGGGTAAGGGTTGAATTCTGCTCATTGTTTAAATACCCACATAATCCCTGGGTTTTTGGATTTTATACAGGGCATGGAGCGAATTTCACTGTCAGAGAGAAAAATGTGGTGTTTAACTAAATACAGGAGCACATTTCTTTAACTAAACTGAAATGTAGTTTTCCCCTGTCTGCTGAGTTCTAATTACATCATTTCCCTGTAATAACTGATAATGTCTATATCATGTAAAACGTTTCTGGAAAATGCTTTTGGATCAATCTTAGGTGCTTGGAACCTGAGCTCTCACAGAGAAACAACTAGCAGACGAATGGCAGAATATTTTGTTTTAAAACACAAATGTTTTGTATCTGCAAATATAGTCTGTTAATTATGGTCCTTAATTTTTTCACAATGCTTGGTCTTCCCCTTTCATAGAGTTTATTAAAAGATAGATGAATGTGCTAATGTTATATTAAACCTTTGTGTTAATATATTTTTGGTTAACTGAAGTAGGTTACTAAATTTTTATCTCCTTGTGCTAGGAAAATGCCTCTTAAAGTCTAAGATTCTCCTAACTTGCAGAAAAACTTCAATTGGTTTCTCATACCCAACTTTTTTATTCAAAAGGATAAGGTAGTTTCTGCCTAGGTGCTCATGATTTATTCAGAAGTATTTCTCATACTTCCCTAAGGGGAGCATATGAGACAAAAGATCAAATAGGAAAACAACGTAAGGAAAGTTTTATGTTTCAGTTTCCATCTTTTCAAGATATTTGAGCCTATCGACAAATGGCAAAATGTTCCCTTTCTGAAGGAAGCAGGTGGTAGACCTGAAACAGTATGGTTAATGTCTTTCATTTTTACTGGTTTTGCATTTTTTTTTCTTTTGCAACCACATTTAAATAAATGGTCTTTACACACAGAGTGCTTCCCTGAGTGAATGAGGCAGTAGCTGCCTTGCAATGTTTGCAGAATGAAAAATTTCACGCTTGCTTTCATTTGTTTTTTATAGTCAAGCTTTTTTTATTACAAGCTTTGTGGTTGAACAGTGTGAGGTGCTGAGTGCTAGCTGGAAGACAGACCACTGCATTTTGATCTGGTTGCTAGTCCTTTAAGCATTTTTATCATATCAGAATATTATAGAAAACCTTGTTTTATTTCAGCAAAATTTCCAAAATGGACTGAAAGGGCTTAATAAGCAAAAGATGTTACATATACGTGATCTTTTTTAATCTTAATCTATCACAAATGCTTTAACAGAATGGCTTGTCTCCATAACTTTGATATGGAACAGCCAAAAAACTGCAGCCTGCAACACAATATATTATTAGTTCCAAAAAATGTTATGAGGAAACTTGGAATATAGAAGTGTATGTGTGTGCACACATTCATGTACATGTGTCCATCCTTTTTATTTCGGTTATGTTTTCAGTAGAAAGAGGTACAGTCCCAAAAGCAATAATATAGGTGCCCTCTACACATTGTTTATGCTGTGGTTAATATTAATTGCAGCATAAATGGGAAAGATGGTACACATGCACCCTTTAAGGCACCATAAAACAGGACATGAGCCATAAATATGATTTGCATATAATGTAAAATGTGTTTATGGCTCGTTTGCATGGCACCTTAAATTTTATCGTGTGGCCAAGGACAATAATCAACTGATTGTCCATCCCAGGGCTGGGACTAATTGTCCGTCCTGGCCCTGGGACTGAAAATGGGATAACTTATTGGTTCTAGCCCAAGGCTGGGTTTGGGGGAAGGGAAGGCAAAGGGCTTCCCTGCTGGGTACTTTAAACCCACAGCGTGGCCAGGAACAGGCGATCAGAGGCTCCCAGCAGAGAAGCCTGCAAGTTTTTAAAGTCTCCAACTGAAGAAGGCTTTTGGCTCCTCGTGCCAGGAGCTTCTGATCCCCAGGAGTCCAGCTAGAACTGCTGGGCACTGGGTTTTGATAGTCAGCTGATGGTTGCCCCTGGTCCCTGGGTCTTAAACTGGATGTTCAGCCAATTGTCAACCTCATGTGGAAATACCTGGCTTGCAACTTGCTGGTGCAGGGGGAACCCAGGATAATGGTCCCAGGCTGCACCTGCACTGGCAAATAGTAATGTTATGATTAGAATATGATCCCAAAGTTGTGCCTCTTGCCATGCATGTCTGGCACTGCAGAAAGTGATGTTGTTGGGATTTGGGAGCAGATCCCATCACATCTTTTTAAATGAATATGTGCCAGGGGCACATCAGTTATATGGGTTATAGATTGTACAGAAAGGACAGGGTGGGGAAAAAAGGGGGAGGGGTTGCGCTCTATGTCAATGAGCAATATACATCGACCCTCAACAAGACGGAATCAAAGGATGAGGAAGCAGAAGGATTGTGGGTTAGGCTACATGGGGGGCAAGGAGAAAGGGATTTGGCGGTAGGGGTCTGCTACAGACCCCCACACCAAGGGGAAGAAATAGATTCGGGGCTCCTGAGGCAGCTCTCGGAGACCATAAAAGCTAAAGAGGCGGTAGTTATGGGGGACCTAAACTACCCAGACATCTGCTGGGAGACGCAGACAGCAAAGTCCCACTGTTCACGCAGGTTTCTAACCTGTGTACAGGACCTCCACCTGACACAGGAGGTACACGGTCCCACTAGGGGGAATGCCATACTGGATCTGGTATTGGCAACGGGGGATGACATGGTAGGGGACCTACAGGTTGGTGGCCATCTGGGGGACAGTGATCACCTAATAATAGAATTCACCATAAGACGTCGAGTGGGTAAGGTAACTAGTAGGGTGAAAGTGCTAGACTTTAGGAAAGCTGATTT